CCAGGTTGCAAACTCTGCCAGTAACACATCTGGCTGCAGGAAGGGGGGTCCTGCCCCCTGTTACCACTGTCCCTGGCTGTCTTGGGGACATGAGAAGCTGCTCCTGCCCTGCCGTAGCCAGCAGCTATCCAGGGTGTTGGGCTCAGCTGGGAACAGTAGCAGTGGTGATGAATGAGTTCTCCCTCCCTATGCGTGCTCTCGGCTGGCAGGAGACACTCGAGGAGACTGGGCAGGGAGCAGGTACAAGAAAGGGGACCTCTTGTCACTGCTGGTGTTCCCAGCCAACCTGGCACTCTGCACAGCTGCTCTTTGCAGCTCCTGGAGGGGTGGGGGAGGGAACCTCTGGGGGCAGATGGGGAGAAGGAGCGTGTGTGCTGCCACTGCTGCTGAGCCTGACACCCCACACAGTCACTCCCTACAGTCCCCAGCTGTCAGGGGGTAGGAGCAGCCCTAGGATTTGCCACATCCCCAGCTCAGCTGGGGACAGTGGTAGTAAGGGTGAATAGGTATCCCCTTCTAGTGCCTGGAGATATAACTAGCAGGGCAAACCCTGCTGGAGAGAGAGAGTGGAAGGGGGTGAGAGGCAATGCTGAGAGTTGGAGGGAGGAGGGGGACACTTTTACCTGTTTCAGAGACTCAAAAAAGACCCTATCTGCTGCTCTTGCAACCTGGACTTTGCAGAAACCCCAGGCATCTGGGCTAGTGGGGAGCCAGAGCCACTGGTATATGAGCTATACAGCAGAAGCAGGGGTATAACCCCCTCCATCACGCTCCCCTGCCCCTGGGATAGTAAGCTGAAATGTCCTGGAGTTGTGGTCATGCAACACACAACTTAGGACAACCGTGTAATATACTCCAGGGTATAGCTACTGCAGTTTTTTTTAGAGGTGACTTTACACAGGGGTTCGGTGACTTATAATATACCAGTGTAGGGCCATATGCTCTGTGTCTGCTCCACCTTTCTGCTAGTATAAATGAGTCTAAATCTGCAAAGAAAGAGACAAACTGCTCCCTGCTTTCCTCCAGTGCCTACACCGTCCCCTCTCCACTGCTTGAGCACAGAAATGCCCTTTACTAGCACGCAGATCTCTTTAAACTTGCCGGGGTGGGCTCTTTGTGCCGACTTCAGCAATGCAAGACAAGGCCCTGGTTGTATTTCACTGCAGTTCCCGTCCTACGTGTTGTTTTCTTTCTCTGCATTGGGAGCTACGCCCAGATGCTGCCGCGGACTCTAATCGATAATTCCACTAAGAGCTCCAGCTTCTAAAAATAACTGTCCCAAAATCAATTACAGCTTCCCTTTTCGACTTCAGTGCAAGGATGAATGATGATGAGTAAATGATTACTCACTGCTAGCCAAACATTAAGCACAGCCTGTGAAACCTAATTAGACTCACTTAGGAGCTGTGGGGAAGTTTTGGTGGAGCATTGATGGGTGCTCCCGACAGCTACATTAATGCCCACCCTCGCTTTTGAGTGGGACCACTGAATACCACAAACAGGATTTTTGTGCATTGGTATGTGCACACATGGAACCATCTTGTCCGGTATATTTAGATGTGTATGCAAAGCCTTTAATCTCTGGGCCTGGGCACACTCCGTGTTAATATTGACATAATTTACATAATTTTTGTATGCTAAATCATACCGGTGCCTGGAGTGGACAGATTACCTGTTTCCCTGGGGTAGCTGCTGCAGTAGGTGGTACTATACCAGTTCATCACCAGGTGGTGGTGGTGGTCTGTTTGCATTGAGCAAATGGTTATCTAGAGATATAAGTGGACATGTGATGGCTATACCTGGCAAGGATTTTTGTGGGTGGTTTCTTTTATTGAATCAACTGCTTGGCTGGGGAAGACTTAAACAAACTTTTGGGTAGCTCAGTACCCTTGCTCAGATGATAACCGAAAGCTTGTCCAAGTTGGTTCAATAAAAGAGATCACACGTGCCTTTTTCCTATCTCCTGAACCATCATAGCTACACCATCACTCCAACACAGCTATCACTGTCATGTATATCAGTGTAGTTTTCCCCGTATGATTATACTCCAGATTTTAGTATGTTAGGCTTTCCCCAATATATGTCATGTGTCCGTCTCTTGTTTCTGGCAGTGTAAGCACAGGCTATACTAGTATAAACGTATTGTGGGTCCAGGCCTCCAAATGCTTTAGAAAGCTACTTACATAGAGCAATCTAAGGAAGACACATGGGGTGGGAAGGCAATAGCTACAGAATAGTCAGCACACCCTACAGCAGTTATTGGAGAAAGGGATACACTCACCAAAGACATTAGGGGGAAATGTTTCCTGCACACAGTGCCCTTGAGTCCTCTGTATCTCTGATATCTGATCCCTGCTGTTCTGATTTGTTCAGTGTGGCTTGGTGGATGATGTCTGTGTCAGATATAGGTGGTGCTATATTTATACGTAGCCACAATTTCAGAAGTACTAGCTGAATTTTGGAAGCGTCAGTTTTTGAGAGCCCAACTTATGACCATTAGAGGAGGGGTTTTAGAGGTGCTAAGCACCCACCACACCCACTGACTTCATCTAGAGGCACCTCTGAAAATCAGGCCTGCATATCTCAAAGCTGGGCACCCCAAATCGGTGCCCACCTGACAAGCTAGGCCTATGGCTTGCAAAGTGCTCTGAGAGCCTTCAGTGGGGAAGTTGCAAAATCTGATTGTTTGCACTGCATCAAGACTGGCAGTAAGGGACATGGGGGAAGGATTATTAGGGGAACACTGACTCTTAGTGCATTGAGGGGTTTAGTATGTGTGTAAAGGAGACAGGACCTTATTTTATCTGAAAGATCCAGGAGGAGGTCCATAAAGCATGAGTCAGTTTATAACTGCATCATGTCAGCTCTATGGGTGCCTATACGTGTCCTCCAGGGTGGGTGCTTTAATAAGAGCGGCTCTTGGGAGCTGCTCTAATGAAAACACCTGCAGCTTTTTGTGTATTCAGTATCCTGCATTTCAAAATGGTGGTGGGGGCACTTTAACTAAAGCACATTTGACAAACTTTAGTTGAAGCAGCGGTGTCACCATTTTGAAACATGGGACGCTGAATATACAAGACGCTGCAGCGTGCTGGAGCTTTCTGATTAGTGCACTCTGGCAGACCTGATTAATCGAGTCTAATCAGAATGTGTCAGAGCACGTGTAAAGTTACCTTATAAGCCTGATCCTAAACTGCTTGAAGTTAATGGAAAAGCTTCCTACTCCCTTCAATAGATTTTGGATCAAGCCCTCTGAGTAGCCACAGAGTATCCCAGCCTGGCCTGGGCCTTGAGTAAAAGCTGGGCTAGTTTATCTGGGGTCTGTTTCTTTATGGGCTGTTTCGGAGCCCAGGCCAAGAGTTTTATTTGGGATAGCACTTAGCTTGTGCATGGTGTATGTGATATGTACATATTTATAGCATTTGTTTGCTATTTCAGGATGATCGATTGGGTCTCTTGGCCTCTAGGGAAGAACATAGACAAGTGGATCATTGCTCTGTTGAAGGGTTTGGCTGCAGTGAAGAAGTTCAGCATCTTGATCGAAGTGACTCTTTCCAAAATTGAAAAGGTCAGTATGCCCTTCAGACATGCCCATGAACCAGACATCCTCCCGCTCTTTCCCCTTCAGAAGGAGAGCTGCCTCTGCTCTAGCTTGCAACTGGGTTACAATTAGATGTGTGTCGATATCGGTGCTGAATCCACTGATTGAAGGGGCATAGAATATACTGTACCATTGGAGGGATCAGTGCTAGCAATTTATACCACTGCAGGCTATACCATTATTATTCTATCGCTGTCTATGGACTGCTGGATTGAAGTCTGCTTTGTGCAACTTTCCAAACAGTGAGTCTTACCTCCAGAAATGCATCACATGCATAAAAGCAGGAGGCAGTGTTGAGTGGATGGTGTAGTGGACTGAGAGGTAGCATTGTCCTTTGCCTGACTCTCACTGGCTCAGTATATTATCTCAAGCAAGTCAATTAGAGCAGCATTTTCTTCAGTGTATATGGATTTCAGAAACCTCAGGCCCAAGTTTGAGGGCCTAGTTTTCAGAGGTGCTAAAAACCTAGATCTTCCAGTTCCTTCAGTGGGGGTGGAGTGGTACCCAGCACTAACTGAAAATCAGGCCCCAAACATCTCCAGCAAGACACCCCAAACCAGTGGCCACTTTAGGGAATTTGCCCCTCTGTGTCAGTTTTCCCCATTTGTAAAACTGAGATAATTGCTAATTGAATCTCACTACAAAAGTGCAAAGCATTGTGGTTACCTGCCTGTGCCCCCATTACCTCCCCTTGCACACCAAAGAATTGGAAAGGAACATCACATCTCCTCCTCTTAGTCTTAATTCCTTCTATTGTTATGGAGTAGAAATAGGCATAGCTTTTAAAACCTGGGGGGTCGGGGAGCTTTGGGAATGGTGGTTCTGGGGGCTTGTAGCACAGCTTCTGCAGCCTTTGCTGTTGTCTCTGAAATTGTGACATGATAATCTGGGGGATGTGTTTTCAGGCCCTTGTCTTGCTTTCAAAGCCTGTTTGTCTGAAGGCTTGGGAAGAGGCTCAGAATATCAGGTCAGGACAGCACTGCTTTGCCTCTTTATGGTGTCTCCCATCTGGAGGCTTAGCCTGATGGCAGTGCCAGCCAACCTGAGCAGGGATGGGTTCATGACCAAACTGGGTAAGGTACACATGTGTTGCAAAGGAAGTCTCTTGGCATATGAAGAGAGACATCAGGCTTGTACAGCTAGTGGATGTGGGCAGGCCAGTGTGTGTGGGGAAGGGGTCTCATAGGGCACACTGAGGAGCAGTATTGGCACACTGGAAGAGCAGTCAGTATTCAGCAGCCCCCTGAGAGATGGGAGGTGTTATCCTCCCCTTGCAAGGACGTTTGACACATGGAGAAATCAAATGACTTGGCACACAAAGCCTGACCCCACACAGGGTCAGAAATAGACCTTGGATCTCCTGGCTCTTCATTTCCTGATGAAAAGCATGGAGACCTTTCTGTCCTGATAGTCTACTGAATCTGTCCCTGAGTCTCCCCTGTGGCTGCCCCAGGAGCAGGGGGTGTCTCCTCAGCCTCCCTTTTTTGTTAAGGCTTCCCAAGCTGGGTCTCAGCGGCATGAAGGCCACTCACTTGTGGCTTCCCTGTCTCCTGCCCTGTCCCTTCCTTGGTCTTCAGCCTGGCAAGGGCCCTTCTCCATGCATTCTGGATCCTAGAGCATGCTCCTTTCTTCCCCAGCATGCTTGCTTACCAAGCCAGCCTCCCTCCTGTGACCCCCTCTCATCCTGGAGAGAGAAGGGAGGATAGTTAACACATTGGCTGAGCCACAGCAGGGTCCTGCAGTCAGGGGTGGAAGGCACCCGTCTATTGCCTTGCAGAGTGAGGAAACACTTGTAGAGAGGAGGATAAAGAGCTGCTCCACTTTGTGCTGTGCTCTGTCCCCTGCAAGTGGAGGAAGCTGTCCCAGCCCCCATGTCCAGCAGTGAGAGAGCAGCTTCAGTCGGGTGACAAAGCTTCAATACAGAGGTCCCTTTCCTCTTGCAACTGCTGTCAGAACCTCCCATAGACTTGCATCAGTCTCCTCTCATCTCCCTCTTTTTGCCACTTGAATCTGAGCTCTGGTTATGCTCTCTTTATACACTTAGGCCTCAGGTAGCATAAGAACCATCTCCCCTGCTGCTCCTTGTGGGTAAGGCACCGCCCCAGGACTCAGGAGAGCTGAGGACCATGCCTACCTCTGCCACCAGCTCCCTATAACATGCGGGCAAATCACTTAATCACTGTGCCTCAGCTCCCCAGCATTTCTGCTTCCTTTCTCCCACCCTCATGAAAGCAGGGATTTTCTCTTGGCAGCACCAAGCCCACTGGGGTCTTGGGCAGGCTGAGCTATTTAGGCCACGCTCTTAATATTTAAACCTTTCTGCTTGTTTGCTTCATCTTCCCAAATCTGCAGATATGTCCTCGACCTGTGGCACCGTTAACTTCCCTCTCCCTCAGCTGTTATTGGCTCTGATTCGAACTTTCCCACCAGGTACCAAGCAGGCTTTGCTTTACTTGCCTTATTGGACCTCAGCAGACCAGAGAGCCTCCACTGTCATGTAGAGGTGTCGCTACATGGGTTAACGAGACCCTGCACCCCCATGTTTAATATTGTGCCTCAGCAGCATATATTGCCTTGCACTTTCACCCTTCTCATGTGTTTTTCTCTTCTCGACAGGTCTTCTCCAAGCTGCTGTACCCCATCGTGAGGGAGGGGGCCCTGTCTGTCCTGCAGTACATGCTGCTGAGTTTCCAGCACTCGCACGAAGCTTTCCACTTGGTAAGGCTGAGTTCAGACTTGCATCTAGAGGGTGTTGCACTGAACCCAGCAATGGGGTGGTTTAATGAGTGGTGGAGCAAAGATAGCCAGGGAACAGCCTGGGAGCGGGCACTCTCCAGGTCCAACACTCCTGGATCATGGCTCTAGAGCAAACCCTCCTCCCGCTTTCTGCACACTCCAGACACCAGCTGGCTTTGCTGCCTCACTTCCAGGCTCAGGTGCCGTGCTGAGTGGGTCCTTGCAAGCAGCGTAGATATCCCCTAACAAACTGCTGCTTATGGCCAGGGAGTCTCCAGGTTTTTTTGGTTGCCAAGATACGCTCCTATTTGTGCACTCACAGCCCAGCTTCCTTGGATGCACCTCTGGCAGGAGGCACCCTGGGAACGAGTGCTGCTGTGTGTGGGGTCCTCTGAGCCCAAGAAAGAGTTGGTTGTGAGGGGATGAGCCAGCGTGCCCCAGAAGGAAACCAGAAATGAAGAACAAAATCAGGGTTATACCTCTCCCCTGACTGAACCTCCTGATTCCCCTTAAGGTTTGGAAAGTAGGGGCTAGCACTATGTAACCATCCAGCTCTTCCCCCAGTGTAAATCGTAGTTCCACTGAAGCCAGTTTACACAGCTGGGGACTGGATCCTCTCTCTGTTGGGGTCACTCCACAGACCTTAAGATTGACCATACACTGGCTGTGTTGTGTAAGCCTTCTCCACAGTGTTGTGTCAGCTATCTGAGCCCTGCCTTAGAGGAACGATGCAATGCAAAGCAGGCAGAGCTGTACCTCCATCACCCATGAAGTCCATCTTTGGAAGCTGCCTGGCACAGGCATAGTTGTAGATGTGGGAGCAATTTCTTTGTTCCTTTCTGCTATGAAGTCAGCAGAGGGAGCTTGTGAGCTGTTGTCTTGGATTTGATTCTATACAATTAGACCTGTTATATGCTTTGGTTGTTTTTGGAGTGGTTGTTCATTTTTCTTATTATAGGGGCTTTTGGGTAACTTTGGTTTGCTGTTTTGTTTTCTTTTTTGTTTTGAATTTGAGATAAAGAGTTAATCTGAAAAGCTGTATGGACATATCTGTCCCTACCCATCTGATGACAACAACACTGCTGTCACTTATACAAAATAAGATAAAATTATGCAAGTCAGATTAGTCAAGATCGGTTCAGCCAGAAAATTGCATCTCCTACTTCAAGAGGAAGCTACTTAGTGCTCTGTTTCAGCCAGACACACCCCATTCCCTAGCAAGTGCAGGGGCGTATTTATAGGTGGCAGAGGCCAGTCTGCTCGAAGGATGAAATTTGCCCTGTGCATAAAGCTAGTGCGAGACCCTATGCCATGTGTACGGCTTATCTGAGCATCAAAAGAAGCCATAAATCAATGGGACTTTGAAGTCAACGGGAATTTTGCTGTAGGATCAGGCCATAAGAGTGACGCATGAACCTCGTGTCTTAGCCTTCTGCAGGGGGTGACTTTCACCCACATACTTTAACCCTGTGGTGCTGTGTGAGCCACAGAAGCACAACTAGCCTGAGCCATTGCTAAATGAGTGCACTTTGCTCTTTCAGCTGCTTCCTCACGTCCCCCGGCTGGTGGCATCTCTGAAGAAGGAAGATTCCAACTCTGCAACGAGCTGCCTGGAGCAGCTGGCCGAGCTGATCCATTGCATGTTCTTCCGGTTTTCGGGATTTCCAGATCTCTATGAACCAGTCCTGGAGGCAGTCAAAGTAAGGCAGGCAGCTCGATTCTGGGTCTCTGAACCACATGTTGCATGCTGAGTCGCGGGGAGGAGGAACCAATGTCCTGGTTTGCTGTTTAGTAGCAGACGGACCTTCTCACCACTAGAGGAGTCTGGACTACAACCTCTTGTGAGGACAGCTCTCGCTCTGGGGGAGAGAGTGGTTCAGATTATGAAACTGGACCCCATTTGGGTCTGGCTTTGAGGCAGGGACTTTCTTTAATGTGTCTGGACAACACCTAGCACCATTGTGTGTATGACACATACACATATTCAGTATGTTTCCCTTGGCTTTCCAAGGGGAAGAACAGCTCTCTGAAGCTCGAACTTAGGAGTTCACAGTTCTGTCGCAGCGTGCAAAATGAATTGGGGGCTGATGCAGTATCTTTGGTTATTTCTAAGGCTCTCCCGATTCCCAATGAGGACCGAATTAAACATTTACTGGGGCAGAATGCTTGGACCTCCCAGAAGAATGAACTGGCCTGTTTCTATCCACGCCTAGCTTCCAAGTCAGAAACGGGAAAGATTGGCTTAATTAACCTGGGGAACACCTGCTACATGAACAGCATCATCCAGTCTCTTTTCATGGCCTCAGAGTAAGTTTCTTTCCTCCCTTGAAAGTGGTGTGGCCCAGAGTGCGCTTCCCCTAGGAGTAATTCTCTCCTGTCTCTGGTTTTACAGCTTTAGACATTCAGTGCTGAATTTAACGGAAAGCAATGCACAGCCCCTGATGACAAAGCTCCAGTGGCTCTTTGCATTTCTGGAGCACAGTCAGGTAATTAGTTCATGTTCTAGTGATTGTTTGGACTGTCGACTGCAGAAAGGCTCATTTGGGCATTACATCCTGCCAGGTTTAAGTGCTGATCAGAGACCTGTGTGTCCTGATGTATTATGTAAAGCAGTGGCAACAGCCTTTTTGGCAAGCATGGCACAAATTAAGCCCTGTACCCATTCTGAGTGCCACTCTGATTCCCTTCCCTGCCCAATCCGCTGCTCTGCTTTTTGTTCCCTGCATAAGTTAATGCTGCCCTCTCCCTGGTCTGCTGTGTGGCACACATGTACCATGCATGCTATGGCTTGGCTGCCCCTGATGTAAAATATCCACTCCTGTTTCTACTGTGGGGATAGATAAGAGATAAGAACTTTGCTTGTGACTGAGCTCACAGCAGATTGCAATGTCCCTTAGTTTGATCACTGCCACACTTAATGATAGGCATTAATATGTTACAGAGCTGAATGAGATTACACATGTTGGGACTCTTCCTGCAGGCTGTTTGCAGACCTCCTCACATGGAACTCAGACTTTGAACGTGGCCTTTATGGCTGTAAAGATCTCCAGGTTTTGAATTGGGGCCTTTCCCTTTTGGGTGCCCAATTTGCAATTCCTTCAATAAATTGGTTGGCAAAGAACTGGGTAGTTGCTTGCTCCTGGCTCATTACCGGCTGTTTTGAGAGAAGCTGAGAATACATTTTTCATAGTGGAAAAGCATATTTTTCCACTGTTCCTGTTCCTTGGTATCCATTGCCCTACCTGCCAACATAACAGTATTTAGCAGCCAGCGATAGAGGAGGTGGTATGTGTGGTTATGAACGGGGCCCCAGATGGGCCGCACTTGCCTGGGAAGGGAGATGTTGACTAAACAACCTGCCTGTTAAGAGGTGGTCTATATGTGGAAAGCATTGGAGATTGCAACCCCACCCTACCACCCTTGGTGCAGAGGAGGCCCCCAATCATACAGTGCAGGGGTGGATTTAATGCTGTCACACTTGCCCTGCATGTTTGCTGCTTTGTACTCTCTTATGTAGCACTGGAAGGGGCCTCTGGTTCCTTGGGGTCACAGGCAACGGTTGGTCAAAGGATCTCCAGGATCATTCACTCTGGGCCTTTTCTGCGCATCACAACCAGAGAGCACCTCATAGAAAATAACTGACAGGGTCCTCATGCATGTGAGGTTAAAATGGGGGAGCTCAACTTTCAGTCCATGGGCCAGATCCAACCCGCGGAGCTGTATCATTCAGCCCGCTGGATTCCCTACGGGTATGGAAATTTGGTGACAAGGGAGCAGTGGCAGTGCTAATTGCTGCCTCCCTGCTGCCAAATTTCTGGACCTGCGGGGAAACCCACAGGCTAGATAATGTGGCCTTGTGTGCCAGATCATGCCAGCTTGTGGGTGGTGTGGGGTTGGATCAGTGTGTCACAGTGCTGCATCAGGGAGGTGGCTGGATCCAGTAGGTGAGTCATGTATGGTGTAAGACCAGATAGGGTTGATGTGCAGCCTAATTGGGGCAGCACAGAATTGGGCCAGCAGACCAACCCCGTGTGGGATCCAGGCCCTGGCCTGACCCTCCACCACTTGTTCAGCTCGTGTGGCCAGGAGGTTGGGTGCTACTAGATTAAAACATGCTCAGGGTATCCAAGGGAAAAGGAATAAAGCCTTTACATGGGCAGTGTGGGTAGCCAGTTATAAGAGTGAATGTTTTGGAAGGAGCAGAGACCTTCATGCTCCAGGGGATAAACTGGGGACCAGAGGGAAGCTCTTGGAGGCCAGGTCTTCTGTCTCTCCACTACTGCAGGATTTCTTCCTCAGAAGCCAAAACAGGATACTGAGCTGGATGGAGTTGCTGGTGTGCTGCAGGGGGGCAATTCCTGTAGTCCTAAGAGAAAGGATGAAGACGAGTCAGACGGCCCTAAATTCCCACTTGTGCATGCACGGACATTGCAGACAGCATAGCACAGGCCCTCCGACCAGCAGCGTGAGATTATCTAAGATGATTTAAAATGCTCCTGCACCTGCCAAATGTGCTGTGAGAGTTTAAGGCAGCTCAGCAGCTAGTTCATCTTTAGTCTCGTTTGAAAGAGGTATAATTTATTCTTCTATAGCATCTTTTCACCTGAGGCTCTTAACGTGCCTTATAACTGTGGGCACATTTCACTGTTCCTTTTTCACAGGCGTATGTGTGTGGGAGAGGGAAATTGAGGAAAATTGAAAATTGACAACAGTCTTAAATGACTCGACTGACATGACACAAGTCAGTGGCAGAGCTGGTGCTAGAAGCCGGTTTGCCAAGTCAGATTCCCTCACTTGAATTGGTGAGCACTCCCCGCTAACAGCAAAATGATGAATGTGCTCAGCAGTGTAGATACGTTTTGTTGAAGTGAAGCGAAATCCTGAAGTGGTCCCCCTGAGGTGAGACCTCCCTGCTGGGGACAAGAAGGGGCTCTACCCCACAGTACATGTGTGGGCCTCACACAGGGTGCTAATTTATGGCTATGTGGTGGCTTCCTGAGCAAACAGTGGCCTGAGATCATCTGTCCTCCTCTCCCCCTTCTCTTTATCTTTCCCCTGCATCTGCCCTACCTCTTGAGTTAGCCATGTGCTATCTCATATTAGGGCAGTAGTGCCTTTTCAGACTTGGGGCACCCCTCGATAGAGTCAGAGCACTGCCTTAGAAAATGTAGCTCCTAGTTTTCACCTTTTTTTTGAGTGCAGAAGAATACTAGAGCAATTATTCTGTTGCAAAGAACTCAGAGAGACTACAACAGAAGCATAGCACCATAGAAAAGTAGGGCTGGAAAAGACCGCCAGAGGTCATCTAGTCTAATGCCCTGCCTGAGGCAGGATCAGCGCTCTCCAAACCATCCTATACAAATTCATAATCTAAGCTCTTCATAAAACTTGGCACAACACAAGACATCACACCCTAACCTGCCACAGGTAAAGCAGGGGGACTGTGGCAGCCAGCATCCTGCTTCTATAAAAGGTTGTTAATGTATGCTCAAAAGAGCCCAGGTAGAGGGCCATGCCCCCTGCTACAGAGGAAGGCAACCCCCCCCCCCCATAGTCTGTACCATTATGACCATGGGGCAAAATTCCTTCCTGACCCCAAATACAGTGATCGATCTGCCCCTGAGTGGAAGGGCAAGACCCTATAGCCAGGAACCTCCAGCTTTAAGTCCCAGTCTTGGCTGCAGCCAACATCCAATGCCTCTGAGAGGCTTAGAAACACCCTGACATATTTAGCAGAAATGGAAGGAGGGAGCAAGCAGCAAAGCCCAGAAGCATGGGAAATCCCTGTAGCACATAGGCATACCTACACCTAGATTATCCCTGACCAGTGCCTGTGCATTGAACCTCTTCTTGAACACCTCCAATAATGTAGAGACCACAGCTTCCCTAGGCGTCCGTTCCACTGCCTCCCTGTTCTCACAGTGAAGATGTTTTTCCTGATATTTTATCTAAACCTGCTTTGCAGGTCAGAACATTTTGATTCCTACTTGAAACCTCTGGGTTTATCTTCTGCATCCTGCTTGCACACCAAATGGTGCTCAACTTTGGTGGTACCCTGTGGCAGCCTTGAAAGGATCTCAAGGCGCTTTAGGGTGCCATGGCATGTTGGTTCCTGAGATTAAAAAGACATGTCTTTCTAGTCATGTGACCACCCCTTGGGTTTCACACCATTTTGTCCCCAAGGGCCTGCTCTCACTGAAGTAAATGGAAAGATTTCCCCACTCCCCCATTCTGCATGGAAGTTGGGATCTAGCCTTAAATGCTTTCTTCTCCATCCCCCTTTTATTGCTGCCAGCGACCTGCCATCTCACCTGAAAGTTTCCTCTCGGCATCCTGGCCTCCGTGGTTCAGCCCTGGTGCTCAGCAGGACTGCTCCGAATACCTGAAGTATCTGCTGGACCGGTAAGCAGTATCTTACATAGCTTCAGAGCACACCACCGTCTTAGATTGTGGGCATTTGGGGCAAGTGTGTTCTTCTTCTCCTGGGTTTGTATGGCATGTAGCAGTAATGGGGTTTGCTCCATGCCTGGGCTTCTGGATGCTATGTAGTCAATCCCAATAGAGGCACAAATAGCTATTCTTCTGGGTCAGTGTGTTCATCTTCTGCCCATGTGTGGCTGTTCCCTGCAAAGGAAATCGCAAGGCTGGCACCAGTGTTGGTTCCTGAGGCTTTCTGAACACTGTATTGACTGATAATATTTTGATGCTTGAGGTGCCATCTACTGCGTATGTGTGTTGGAATGAATGGCATTTCCCTAGAACAGCTGGCCTAGAGAAGGTGTAAGGAAGTCCGAATGTAAGCTAAGGCTCAGGATGGGGGGGTAGGGTCCCCTCCCAGGGTGGAGCCCTGTGTATTAGGAATGAAAAGACATGGTTTCTTGTACCAATTTCTATTATAAAGCCTGACTTTATGGCCTCCAGTATAGAAACCAACAGTCCAATATAGACTTAGATCCTCAGTTTATCTCTAAAATGGACATGCTTGCTCTGAAGGCAAAGAGGAACTTGTTTGCCAAGTTTGGAGAAGATCTGCCAGGTTTTTTAAACAACTTGTTGTTAAAAAAAAAAAAAATTGCACCCCCCATTTGAAACTCTGATGTTTGTCTAAAGCTTCCTCCTTCAGCTCAGAAACTGCAAATCCCTTCCAAATCCCAGCTGCACATTGGCACACAAAGGAGACCCTGTCAAAAGGGGTTTGTGGCACATGGAGACTGTATGTGCCCCAAATCCCTTCCCTTTGCCCTCCCTTCACGTAGAGAAACTCAACAGATAGGGCCCTTCACACTTATATGGAATAGGATGCCAAACTTTACTATGTGAAGAGCAATAGTCAGTAGCAAGTTACCTCCATAAAGAGATGGCCTAAGGGGTTAAGACACCAAGGTTTGCACATGAAAAAGCAGCACTTATGGGAGGCTGTAGCTGGAGTGGGAACTATTTGGCAGAAGCTGTTGTTCTCTGATCTGTGACTTCTAATGCAGTTTCTTTTCTCCTTTTCCCAAAGACTGCATGAAGAAGAGAAAACTGGGAAAAGAATTTACCAAAAGCTCAAAGAGTCTAACTTGATGTCTCAGGCCAAGGAGAATCACTACTTAAACAAGACCTTAGTTGAGAAAATGTTTGGGGGTAAAATGACCACCAAAATTCGCTGTCTGAAGTGTTTGAATGTCTCCTCCCGAGAAGAAGCCTTCACAGACTTGTCCTTGGCTTTCCCGCCAATTGAAAGGCACGGACATAGGCCAAACCACACCACTATTTTGCCAGTGGAAGAAATCGGTCCCCAGATTATAGAGCCACCTGTAAAACCCCAGAGCCAGATAATAGACTCTCCTGGGAGACAGAGGAAGCGTCATGTGTCTGGAGAGCAACCCACGCAGCTAGTGCAGGTGGAAACACTGGGCTTCCAGGAAGCAGGGGAGCAAGAGGCTCCTATTGACTTGAGACATGATCTTGCTGGTAGGGAGATGGGGAAAGATCCACTCTTGGCTTTTGGAGAGCAGACATGTAGTTCCAAGGACTCCAGATCTGTCCCGGACTTGATCAACTATTTCTTATCTCCAGAGATGCTGACAGCAGAGAATAAATACCATTGTGACAAGTGTGCTTCCTTACAAGATGCAGAGAAAGTGGCTGAGTTGACAGAAGGGCCTCACTACCTTATTCTCACCCTGCTGAGGTTCTCTTTCGACCTGAGGACCATGAAGAGGAAGAAGATCTTGGATAACGTCTCGATACCACTGGTGCTGAAGCTACCTGTTCTGGTTGCGTCAGAGGAACCGGATGATGTTTGCCCTCCCAGGCAGGAGAGGGCTGCATCAGGCACTGGCTTTGTGTCTGTGGTGTATGACCTCTGCAGTGTGGTGGTTCATTCTGGTGTCTCCTCTGAGAGTGGCCACTACTACTGCTACTCCCGGGAGGGTACTGATACAGGTGCCAGGGCACAGCCACGGGATGGGGCTCAGAAAGCCACCTCTGAAAAGCAGCTGGACTTTGAAATCCAGTGGTACCTCTTTAATGACACCAGAGTCTCCTTCTCCTCCTTTGAATCTGTTAGCAATGTGACCTCTTTCTTCCCCAAAGACACTGCCTATGTGCTTTTCTACCAGCAGAGGCCAGGCAAGCAGAGCTGCACGGTGTGCGAGGAGGCTTCGGATGCTGTCCAGCTGCACGGGGAACCCTCGCTCAATAAAGACTTGATGGAAGCCATTTCCAAAGACAACATCCTGTATTTGCAGGTAATGTCACTTCATGTCCGCACCGTGTTCAGGGGACTGATTCTGTTTTTGTGAGATTCAGTGATGGTGTTTCACTTGGCCTTGATTGCAGTGGGATTGAGCCCTTCAATGACACCAGTAGCTCCCTAAAGCGGCATTGCTCTTCCCTCCCACAGCCCAAAATAAATAGCTGCTGGACTGCTTGTATTGCTTGTATTGCAGCAACACCAGCTGGGGTCAGGCCCTGTAATGCCAGGCACTGCACAAATACATAGGGGCAGCCCCTTGTTTTGAAACTGAGTTGAGGGCCTTCAGTACCTTGCAGGATTGAGGTCAGGGAGGCAGGGTTGCTCTATCTAGGTTTGCTTCTTTTCTGGCCATCACAGAGTGTGATGGTGACCCAGACTACCTTGTCCTCTTGATTAAATCCTCTGTCTCTCCTTCTGAACCCATGAGTCCTAACCCCATGTCCCTCCCTCAGTCCAGCAGGCCACATACTTTTCCTGGTGTAGGACTACTCCCTGTTGGAGGCTCAGTCTCAGGAGCAGTGGGGACTCCTTTTGATTTGTCTAGTAAACTTGGGAGCTTTTTCTCAAACATGGTCCACATATAACATCCTCTGCTGCCTCTGGAATGTTGGCTTCAAATAAGCAGGCCTGTTTTGCTTTTTCCACCCCACCCTCTCATCCCTTCTAGGAGCAAGAAAAGGAAGCAAGAAACAGAGCTGCCTACATCTCAGCCTTGCCCAAGTCACCCCTGTGGTGGAGAGACTTTGACAGGGACAAGGATGATGAAGGCTCCTCAGGGGGCTGCGGCTCCGCTGCTGGAGGTGGAGGCTCGTTTCATGGCCTCGTCTTCTAGGAACACCATTTGCAACAGACACTGACTATAAGCAACAAGGTCTGCTTCAGCCTTTGTTTCTAAGCAAGCAGCTGAGCCCACAGAAGCCGGTCTCCTCTGCTGTACATCCTCACTGCAGGCGGTGTAACCATGGAGAGGGATCTGGCCCTGAATCCTTGCACCTAGGAGGAAGGATTCGCTGCTAATTCAGGGAATGCATTGCTGCCAGGAACTGGTGTGAGGAGAGCCCCATTGCTTTCTATGCACTTATCCTAAACGCCTTAACAGAATACTATTTACTAAGCTCCGTGGTGACAAGACTTTGGCTGATGACTTGAAGTATCATTTTGTCCAACTGGTCACTTCCTCTTGCTTGCTGTGGGAACCATCAATCAGGACCTGGATGAGGAGGGGCTCAGAGGATCAAGATGCCTTTGGAAGAGACTAAGCCGGGACCTGGGTGTGGAGGTCTACAATGCTTACACACTCCTTCCTCTGAAGGAGGCCCAAGATCTTCCAGAACCAGCTATGAATTTTGGGGCAGGTTGTTTTGGAGGACCTAATTAACTCACCTCATCCACCCTCTCCTTCTTTTGGACTCTCCATAGGGCATCATCAGTAGGGGATCTCCAAATCAAGGCACCTCAAATCAGTAGTCCCTTCTGCAATACATGGCCTTGAAAAGACTGCAGGCTGCACCATCTCCAGAGCTCCATCTTATATCCTAGCAGTTAGGCAACTTGAACATAGGATATCAGTACAATGTACCATGTATGTGTGTGATCACAGCTTCCTCAGCCTGTGGTCACTAAGAATGATTGCAGCCTGCTGCTTATACCCAGTTGCTGGGATGACTCCTCTGTCTCTAATGGTTGGGGCTTCTGCCTTTCAAGAAAAAGGGTCCTGCCTTCTTCCTCTTGATGGCTGTGGCGCATACGGATATTGTGAATCCACAGAATGGAAAGCAAAGCACGGGACTGAAGTCGAATGATGACGGAGGGTAAATTCTGGAACAAGTTAGCCACTATCGCACACTATACTGCTGTTCTTCATTGTGTTCATAGCGATAAAGGAAAGGAAATCGTTCCTCATGAAGGACTGCTGCATGCTTAGCATTTCCTACAGGTACCAGAGCCTGATTATGATTCCCACGTACTCTGGTGCTTCAGAGGAGATGCTGCTGTGCCCCTACTGCTATTAATCACCTGATGCCTTGTAAATATTCCCAATCGTGCTGCTTTGCTGTTTTATCATGCGACTGCTCCTCATTCTGTCGAAAGAGGTTTTGAGGCTGAGGGAGTTTTGCCTTTGTACAAAATGCAGGCTTGAGCCACTGTGTTGAGCTCTTGACTTGTGAATAAAATCTTCCCAAAGGCTTCATGCAGTCTGGGCAAACATGGCATCTCCCCTGCAACTCCCACTAGGGGCTAGGATGGGCATATATTGCAGCGTCCGGTTTTTGGGTGCCCGGCTGCATAGTGGAATTCATAGCCATGTGCTGGATGCTGAGGTGTTCCCTACCATACACAGGGAAAGTTAGATGCCCATGACTGGAGATGCACAGAAGCCAGCACTTCTGAAGGCTTAAGCTGCTCTGAAGGCTCCCGGCTCATCAAGGTGCTTTGGAAAATGTTGCTTTTTGTGTATAGCGCTTTTCCCTTTTGTAACAGTGAGAGCTTGTTGTGGAGAACTGTAGGTATCTCAAAGCCACTCCTTACAGGAGAAAGGGGCCCTGAGGCTTGTCTTATAGCTGCATCCAAGCCTCACCAGGGGCTGATGACCTTTAGAAGCCATGGGCCAGAACAGCCTGGCCCCCGTCCAGCGTAGGCTGGGCAGCTTTGGCAGCATGTCAGCAGCGTGGGATGGGGGTGTGGAGGGTATTTGCTTGTGCTCGTGCTGGGGCTCAGTTGCTCACCAGCTGGAAGCTGCGCCCTCGCTGCAGCTGGGGAGCAGGGAGTAGCAGTGGCAATGCAGGTGCAGCTTCCAGTCCCACACAGGCAGAGGCAAATCTTTCCAGCTCTGCGGGCCACATCCAGGGGCTTAACAGGCCAGATCTGACCCATGGGCTGATCCTCAAATTAAAGCATTCTCTGGGTGCAGATGCTTTCCCCCTCCAGGGTGGTGGTGTTGAACTCTGCTTGCCTGGTTGTTTAGATCTTGGGCTTTGATTCCTCTCAGATTTAAAAGAAAAGTGGGGTCCCTTGGCAATGGTGCTGGCTTTACTCTATTTTCTATGCCCCCACCCTTGCTATAGCTACCTGCACAAACTGGGTATGAAGTGATGTTTGGTTTGGACATTACCATTTCATGCCTAGTTTGCATAGGTTCAAGTGTCTGCTCCAGAGACCTCAATCTGTTCTCATCAGAGATGTGCCAGTGATGACAATGGTACACCAGAGGCTTGGTTGCAATTGCTATGGCTCTAATGTGGGTAAGGAGAGTCTGGCTGCATTCCCTTGGGAGCACTGGGTAGAGAGGTTGCATTTCTGCCCACTGAAACATGACTCCCAGAGCTACAAGGTAGGCTATAGGGATGTTATTTTTTCTGGGGGAGGAAGCATGAGTCAGGGTTACTGGGATGCTTGGAGGATGGAGCAATGGCCCATCCTTTCCTAGGCCTTCAAGCCTTGATAACTTAATGTAGAACAAGCTGATGATGCACCTACTCAGTGTCCCTAGCAAGTGCTGCCCTTCTGGTGACACTTTACCAGCCTGCCCTGGCCTGTTGATGTACTACGCCTGGACAGCACTGAGTCCTGGATAATGGCTGTGATCCTGAGACAGTGCAGGGCACGTGCTTGATAAATTAGCAACACGGTCTGGGCAAGGGCAGGTAAGACTCATGACTCAAGGCAACTGGCTGTTTTAGGATCATGGATGTGTCTCATCTTTTGCAAGGCCAGGGCAGGGGGAGAACAATCATTATTAAACCCTGACTCAGTTCTGCAATAAAGAGTAGAGCCAGCCAAGCATTTATTTCCCCATATTTAAAGCAATTTAAAATAAAACAAGAGGAAGAGTGGACTTGATACCTGCTGTCCCTATACTTCTGCCACAAACCAAATGTGTCTTTTCTAATGGACCATTATTGACAGTGGGCTGTTGTGTTTGTTTCAAGCACCTGTGCAGACGGCCACATCCAATTAGTGATGTTAATTATTTCCCCTGCACTTTACAAAATTATTGATAGAAGCACGGAGGTGCAAAGCGTCCACACTCCGGGACTGTCTTCCCCTGCTCTGACCCAGATGATAGAAATAAAGGACCTGCAAAATTAAGGCTATTCTTCATGCTAAATTGCTTATTAACTGCACCATGTTACATTCATTGGGGAAATTCCAATCTGTGTTTTACTGCTGTAAATTAGGGCTATAACCCTATTAATGCCACTGGCTGAGAGCATCCATTGACTTTAGTGGAAATCTGTCAGACTCATGCTGTTGTAAATGAGCACAAAATATGGCCTTGAGGTCTGTAGTTATACAAAAAAGATGGTGATGCCCACTGCTGCTAGGTCAGGTTGAAAGGCTTCTGCCTAAGGCTTTCCTTTTGCTAAAAATCCCATTGGGATTTCTTCTTTATAGTACAGTAGCACCTTGAGGTGTCATCTGCAATCTGGGTCCTATTGTGCTAGGGACCATACATATGTATAGCAAGAGGCAGAGTGTTTGTGCTGGAAAGTTTACACTCTGTGGGGATAAGGGAAATATTATTCCCATTAACAGAACAGAGGCACAAAGATTTTAAATGACTCAAGGCCAACCAGGGAGTCTGGGGCACAGTTGGGAATCAAAGCCAGTTCTTCTTAGTCCTGCTTCAGAGCCTTAACCCCATCTTTCCCTGTAGGAAAAGGTGCTTCCATTCGCTGATATGCTCAAGGCAGTTCCCAAGAAGGGTACAGACCGAGGCACATTCGTGGCAGGGAGGGAGGAACTTAACGCTGACTCTGTCCGTGCCACATCCTTCCTACAGATCAGCACCAGGATGCACTTCACCAGTACAAAGTCCACTTTATCAAGAGAGAGAGGCCTGGTCTTCATTCTGAGCTCCAAAACATGCAGGCATAGATCCCACATAGCTCCTGCACCTCTATAATTCTTTACCTTCCTATCTGAGGCCTGTATCTCATGGCCAGATGCGTTGTATGTTTAAATACTTGCAAGCTGGCTGCAAAATGCTTGCAGTTCACATGTGTGCGCAGCCAAACCCTAGACCCCCATTCCCTCCTGTTCTGTGATAGCAAAGGCTGTGCAGTAGTTTCTCTCTCTCTCTTTGCATAGTTTTGGTTTGCTCAGAGGGTGGCACCCCCACCCAAGACAGAGGAGCTGGACTTTCAGGAGTGGTAAGTGCCTGCAGCACCATCAGAAGTCAGCCCTTACACCTTACTTTCCTATTTACACTCATCTGCTACCGTATCCAAATGGTATTTGGCAGCAAGGGTCGGGCGACTAAGGGGGATTCTGTAATGAAGGTATTCCCTAATCTCACTTGGTATCAACAGCAGGTGGAGCAAAGCCCTGTTCTTTTGAGTGAGGTTGTGGAATAAGGGATGTGGCCAGAGAAGGGGTGTGTAGCGGGGATGGCAGTGGTCTCAAAAGCTCAGCAAGTGATGTCTCTGTGGCGGGCCAGTAGGGGGCGCTCCTGCGTTGAGCCGCCCACCTCCCTGCGCCCAACCACCTTCCAGGCTCCGAGTGCCTCCCTCGGGGTGCCTCCCGTCCGGCCGA